TAATTCCCTCATCTCATTTTAGGAACAGTTAAAAAATTTTTTTTTTTTTTTTTTTTTCAGCTCAATGATCTTTAAGGCAAGGGTACTGTAAACGCTTACAAATTGTGTTGAGTACTGAGTCTCTAGGTCTAGGATCTAGATTGACAGAATATAGGAGGTGAGGAGGAGATGTTTGACTTGTGCCCAGCCCTATGCCCTGGGAGACTTCTAAGAGCCACCTCACAGGCAGAATGCTGTGCTAGGTAGTCTTTTTTATTATTATTATTACCTTTAAAAGACCCATAAATATTCTCACTCAGATTCTCGTGTTGAAATTCTGTGAACTGAAATGCCAGAGCACATGTAAACCCATGAAGTTTGTCTTTCCTGGTACGTGTGTCTATAGACACACACTGTGGATGCAGCGTCACAGGCTCTATAAATAGGCTGTTACTTGCAGAAAGACCAGTGCAGCAGCACGGTGCTTACCAGGGGTGGCTGCTCGGAGAATTTAGTCTCTTCTGCACGACTGAGCAAAGAGAAGGTTGTGTGGCAAGATGACCTACCTCCCTAAACACGATGGCAGATGAGCTAATGGCGTCACCAATGGCATAAACCACAGAATGAAAAGCTCCCTTCATTGCTACATCATTCTGAGCTGCCTTTGGAGGGCTGAGAAGGACTTCTGGTGACACAAAGGAGAGTCATTATTCAGGGCCTAAATATAACTAACACATGTAGATTTTCCATGGCAGCCTTGACCTGGTCAGAAAGCCCAACATGGTATAGTATAACAAAGAAACAGACCATAAACATTTCCACTTAAGCCCTCTGACTCACAGGCATCTCTTGACAATGGACATTGATAAATAACCTTTTCCCGTGGTGCTTGCTCCCAGACCTGCTGCTCCACATGCTTTCCCTGTTTCTTTGGAACAGGTTGCACCCATTGGGAATAATCAAATAAGATGGGCAGAGGGGGGGGGTGTGTGGCTTTGCAAGACAGGTGTTGGGCAAGTAACGGAGCTTGTGCCATCCTCAGAGTGAACATCCACCCAAGGGCCAGGCTTGGTCTCCAAGCTCCGAGTCCTGCCTCATGAGGTAATCACAGCTTTACGGAAGAGGGCAAATGTCCTTCCCAACACCACTCAGCACCTCCAAGGGATGGCTTGGGAATAATCAAATTGGGAATAATCAAATAAGATGGGCAGAGGGGAGGGTGTGTGGCTTTGCAAGACAGGTGTTGGGCAAGTAACGGAGCTTGTGCCATCCTCAGAGTGAACATCCACCCAAGGGACAGGCTTGGTCTCCAAGCTCCGAGTCCTGCCTCATGAGGTAATCACGGCTTTACGGAAGAGGGCAAATGTCCTTCCCAACACCACTCAGCACCTCCAAGGGATGGCTTGGGAATAATTAAATTGGGAATAATCAAATAAGATGGGCAGAGGGATGGGTGTGTGGCTTTGCAAGACAGGTGTTGGGCAAGTAACGGAGCTTGTGCCATCCTCAGAGTGAACATCCACCCAAGGGCCAGGCTTGGTCTCCAAGCTCCGAGTCCTGCCTCATGAGGTAATCACAGCTTTACGGAAGAGGGCAAATGTCCTTCCCAACACCACTCAGCACCTCCAAGGGATGGCTTGGGAATAATTAAATTGGGAATAATCAAATAAGATGGGCAGAGGGATGGGTGTGTGGCTTTGCAAGACAGGTGTTGGGCAAGTAACGGAGCTTGTGCCATCCTCAGAGTGAACATCCACCCAAGGGACAGGCTCGGTCTCCAAGCTCCGAGTCCTGCCTCATGAGGTAATCACGGCTTTACGGAAGAGGGCAAATGTCCTTCCCAACACCACTCAGCACCTCCAAGGGATGGCAGCGAGCGGGGCAAGTGCCAGCAAGTTCCACAGATCAGGTGTCACTGATGGACTCGGGGGCTGAGTCGCTGATGGGAAAGATGGTGAGTGTGAAAGGAGAGGTCCAGAAAAGGGAAGCCAGAAAACCAAATAAAATCTGACAATCTTAAAGATGGGTATGAAACACAGACTATTCCTACTCTTTTGGATTTCTAATTTGTTTTGCAGCCAGTTAAAAACTTCTATTTTGCCACTCAAGTGGCAAAGCGTTTTACATCTGAATCAATTTACAGGTGCTGCCCGGATTGCACACCGCCTGCTGTAACCTTGCCAAACGGGAGACCAGCTTGGAAGTGTAGAGCTTCCTTTGTGAAAATATGTGTTCCATATTTTTGTCACTGTTCTGATGAGCTTGATCTGACCTCCACCAGCACTGAGGGACCTTCTGAAGGCAAGTCCATCACCCCCAGCCACAACAAACAGAGACACCCTGGACCTGGTAGAGCTCTGGGAGCATACAAGGACTATAGGCTATCCATCAACACAAGCTGGGAAAAGGCTGAAGAGGCCTGGCAACAACAAGGCTGCTGGTCAGTCACTCTGTATAGGAAAAATGAGATGGACTGTAATTAGACTTGGAGCAGGTTCTCCAAGGGATCCAAGGCAGCCTGACATACTCCGCTTGCAGGGAGGAGTTTCCTCTACTTCTGCATAAATGGCATGTGTGTGCTGGTTTGACTAAACCCTGTGGTGAATATAAAGGAGGGTGAGATGGGGCTTCAGCAGTCCCTGGTCCAGAGGATGGTAACAGATCTCTTAGGTTACTATAAAAGCAGCAGGGATAGGAGCTTTAGAGATCTGGTTTGTCTCAGCTGCCCCACAACCAGATAGTTCTTGTAGAACTTCATCCATCCCTGACTGACACTTGTTTATCGCCCTTCCTAAACCCTCTCAGTGAGAAAACTCTCACCTCACATCATCTATTCCAGCACCTAAGCCCCCCTACAGCTGGAGGGCTTTATTCACTTTTAACCCACACTCCTTTACAGCAGTTTGGTGGCAGAAGTTTTGTTCACTCTCCCACACCAATTTGGAAGCACATTGCCTGTCTCCTCACAGGCATGCCCACCCTGGAGAGAAACATAAGCACCCACCTTTGACGGTGACAAGCACCGAGCTGTACGTCTGGCCTGCCAGGTTGGAGGCCGTGCAGGTGTACAGCCCGTTGTCTATCTGCTTGCAGAAAAGGATCTTCAGCACAAAATTCTCCTGATCATCCTCATAGATGACGTGCCGCCGCCCTTCCAAAATGACCTCATTGTCCTTCTTCCACACGATCTCTGGCTTGGGCTCACCCGTTACATAGCAGCTCAGCTTGGCGTGCTTCCCCTCCGTCACACTGCACATGCGTGTCAGTGTCCCAAAAGTTGCATTACGGGCCCCTTTAGTGGTAAGTCCAGCTGCCCTCTCGTAATCCCGGGAGAGGCTGTAGCTGATGCTGGACAGCCCTTCTGCCATGGAGTAAGACTGGGTGGATGTTGAATCAAGAGTCCCATGGGAGATGTCCGTCTTCCTGATCTCCTCCCGCCTCTTTTGCAAGTGAGACAACAAGGACGCCGTCTTGCCGCAGCTGGTATCAAAGTGGCTGCTGCTGCCAGGGTTGGAAGAGCCCTTTGTTTCCACCACCAGCGCGGCAGAAGCGCTGGCAGAGCCGATGGGGTTCTCTGCCCGGCAGGTGTAGGTGCCACTGTCCCCAAGCCGGGCACACTGGATGGTGAGAGCGTTTGACTCCCCTGCAGACTCGATCTGGAAGCGTCCAGCATCAGCCCGGTTCCGCAGGTGTCTCCCATCCTTCTCCCAGTTCACTGAGAGGGGAGGGCTTCCCTGGACTTTGCATTTGAACATGGCATCTTCTCCCAGCGTTACTTTGATGGAGGAGGGTTTCTGGATGAAATATGGGGCTGACTCTGTTACTGTGGTCTCCTCTCCAACTTTGATGCTGACAGCTGCAAAAGCTTCCCCAATGGTGTTTTTGGCCCGGCAGATGTATTGGCCACTGTCCTCCAGGCTCAGATCGTAGATTGTTAGCCGATAGAGATCCCCATCTTCTGTGGTTTTAAACCTTCCCCCAGACTGGACTGGAAGTTTATCCTTTTCCCAGCTCACAACTGGGATGGGGTTTCCAATGATCTGACAGCTCAACGTGGCATCCTTCCCCACAGACACCATGAACGCCTTAGGCCGGGTCAAGAACCGGGGGACTCCGCTGAACGAGCTGTAATCCATCTCGGTTTCCTAAAGGGTGAGAAATAAAAATGTCAATAAAGAGCAGATTAGGCAGTGTGGGCAAAGAATTGCTGCACTTCCGTGGTATCTGAGTGTTTGTCATCTAGAACAGCCACATTTTTATTGTCCTTTTCATTATGGGTGAGAAGGTCTTGGAATATTTTACGTCTTGCAGATTACTTAAATTTGAGCTCAATAATCATAGAATGATTTAGGTTGGAAGGGACCTTGAAGATCGTCTCGTTCCTCCTCCCTGCCCTGGGCAGGGACACCTCCCACCAGCCCAGGTTGCTCCAAGCCCCGTCCAACCTGGCCTTGAACACCTCCAGGGATGGGGCAGCCACAGCTTCTCTGGGCAACCTGGGCCAGGGGCTCACCACCCTCAAAGTGAAAAATTTCTTTCTAATATCTAATCTAAATCTCTCTTCTTCCAGTTGGAAGCCATTCCCCCTCGTCCTATCAGTACATGCCCTTGTAAAAAGTCCCTCCCCAGCTTTCCTGGAGCCCCTTTAGGTACTGGAAGGGGCTATAAGGTCTCCCCAGAGCCTTCTCTTCTCCAGGCTGAACAACCCCAACTCTCTCAACCCGTGAATGCAAAACCACTGACGGGGAAGGTAGCTAACTTCCCCACAGGAGTCACTGGGTAAGATACAAGTCTTTGGGCAGTTCATACTGAAAGAAGACAATGGTCCCTTTCAACTTTGGCACAAAGAAAGCGATCTGCACAAATGCTACGTAACATATGGGCTAGTCCTGTAGCTATAGAGAAACAAATGGACATTAAATTCTGAGATGTGTCTACCTATGAAGATACCATCTCCTTCATGCTCCTCTCCTCTTCCTTTTCATCTTTCTCTTTCTATCTCATTGCCTTTCCTTTTGATTATTTTTCTACTTTTCTCTTTCTCCTAGCTTTTTTTTTTTTTTTTTTTTTAAATTCTGCTTATACAACATGCTCCATCTCTCCTCTTGCCCGCTCTGGTCATTACCTACCCCTAGGCCTTGTTCTCTGAATCACGCTTACACAGACATTACGGTAAACCCCTTTCCCCTGCAGTGTCCAGCCTTTAGGAGGATGCACAGATGCGCTTGTCATGTTATTGATGATATTTTTCTTTATCCCAGTTTCCATTCAACACAACCACTGAGAGGCAGCTACTTTGGTGGCAATGGCAGCCGAGTATCTATGACTTATACACAGCCTCATCCAGATGGTGTAGGGCCAGACACAGCTGCCGTGGGGACGGGTGCTTGTGCACATCCATGGCTTGGTGCACATCCAACACAGAACCGCCATGGGGAATGCACACAGCAATCCAAACGGTACCCAGGCTTCTCCAAAAAAAGCCCACATGGCTTAGAGCTTACAGGAAAGATGTCTCATCACCCGTGTATTCTCAGCTGCTCTCAGAGGGAGCTGCGGACCAGTCTGCAGCTGTTTGATGACACAGACCAGCCAAGGGGACAAGGCTTAAGCAGTGTTCAAAAACTAAAGCTCATGGCAGTTCTGATGTTGTTGAGTCCCGAGAAAGTCAAAAGCAATCAGAGGCACTACTCTTTACAGCCATGTTCTCTCACACACAGTCTACCCACACTGGAGAGCAATGCGACAGAGATCACCATCTTCAGGGTCCCCCCTAAAGTCCACAAAACACACAAACTTTTGTTGCTTCTTCACTGCTCCTCACATGGACTCTTGGATGTCCTCCCCCTTCTGCTGGAGTGAGTCTGCTCCTAATCCTTCAAGAAGCCCCTTTCTGTGCATTGGCTAGCATTTACTTTGATAAGTATAGCACAGCTAAAAGCCTGGTCTTGACCCCATTAGCACCAGTAACTGCCCCTTGACTCGCCCTGGGAGTGGGATTAGACCTGATGGTAGTGCTCTGTAAGGAGAGCCAGCGTCCCAGCTCCAAGCCTCTCTGGAAGTCCCACTCAGATGATTTCAGTGTACCCTTTCTCTCCAAGCTACTCTATCTCTTTGGTCTTGTGATGCCAGACACTCCTGTCTGAGCAAGCTAAAGCATCTCCCCTCTGAGCTATAGGAACAGTCTCTTCTCAGGGGCGATGGCAGTGCTGCTCTCACATCCGTGCTTTTTCCCCTTCAAAGCGCTACACAAAGCAAAACGACCAGGGCGCTGCATGTTGTAACTCAGAAAGGAAATAATAACCAGCCACCGCGACAGAAATATCCTTCTTAATCCTACGGCAGTTTGGCTTCCCCGCTGGCCACAAATCCACCCACTCTCTCACCCAATGGCCGATGCTCTCACAATCTGCCCCTCACCTCCAGCAGAAATCAGTAGGAGCCGGCCAAAAACCTGCTTTCATTTCTTGAGTCACCATTCAGGCAGAGGTTTCATTATTTTTTTCCATCCTCCTCCAGCTGTTGCAGTGCATTAACGTTAATGTGCAAATCACTGGTGGCACCAGGGAGTGGGGGTTGGATTGACCTGCTGCATGACCTTGGGGAAATTGCTTATTTTCCCTGTATCTTGGCTCCCTTTCCATTTCTTCTTCATATCAGGACAGGGGTGGTCTCACAAATAATTATCTGCACAGTGTATCTATACTTGCTGGAGTATGTGACAAATCATGCCTGAAAATTAATAATGGATTACAATTTTTCATTCTATTTACTCTGCTGGGGATTGAAAGACACAAATTGACATTAAAACTAAGTACTGGGAAAGTGGTGGCACAAAACCACAAAATGGTATTTGTTATTACCATTGAAGATGGTACAGCTGAGCTAATCTTCAAACTTCATTTGGGCCACAGACCTAAGGCAGAAAGAATCATAGTCTTCTTCCTGTATTTAACCAGAAAAACATACTTATTCCTACGCTGTCCTGTCTTTCACTCTTCAAAGCACATATGAAACTTGTAAGAAGCAGTCAAAGACCTTTGTCTTTAGAGAAAAAGAATCCTTTCTAAAGTGAGTCACTTTCGGTTGGTTTGTTTTTTGTTTTTTTTCTTTCTGGTATCAAGGCAGTTTCATTATTCCACCAAATATATTTAGAAATCAAAGAAAATGCTTTCACAGTTTAAACCTGAAAAAAAAAAAGCAGTAAAGGGGAAAAAAAAAAAATCATTCTTAATAAATACTAAGAACGCAAAGAATGATTGACTTGCAGTCATTAGTGCTAAGACCGACTGGCTTTCCGTGGAGTGGCTACATTCACTGCTAGTTGCAACGAAGGCACAGAACTGTTTTTCCCTTGGTCTTAAACGGGTCTAGAAATCTGTGAACTAGTTTGCACTTCTTTAGTCCCTCTTACTACCTTCAACCTCTGTCCTCGCTTGAGCTTTAAAATGTGTTTTCCATAAACACTTGCAAAGCTGCAAGCAGAGACGCTGCATGAATGGTTAGAAGACGCAGACACAAGCTTTGGGCCTGAGCCAAAGTACACTGAAGTCAGTGGAAATTTCCACTGAAGTCAATTGATTGACGAACAGAGTCTTCTGCTAATTTGGCGAAGGACCATTTCAATGTTCAGGGGGGGATGCTGGGATTCAAGTTCACCTCTGGAGAATCCATCAGTAACATTCACTGCATTAACTTAGAATTAACAATCAAAACACAGACCCAGAGCTCATGTCCTAATCTTTCCCAGACATTAGCTTGAGTTTCTTTGATGACTGTGTCAAGGCGCTTGGATCAATCTTTAGAAGACAGTGCCATGTCTCTTCCCTCCTAGCTCCCTAGTTCTTTCTGACAGATGTGCTGCTCCGACTCATTTCCAGCTTCAAACCCATAGCATCAAAAAGAGCAAAAACTGAAGTTGCTTCACCTGGTCTAGTGGGAGGTGTCCCTGCCCGTGGCAGGGGGGTTGCAACTAGATGAATCCTTAAGGTCCCTTCCAACCTAAACCATTCTATGATTCTATGATCCACTTCTCCTTTGAAGCGGGCTCTGTGTAACATGGAGAAGTGCCTGGAGCACAGAGATGGCTGCAGACACAAGAGTTGCCTGGTTGGAAGCCAACCAGTGACCTTTCAGCAAACAGTGGCTTCCCTCAAACCCATAACATGGAGAAGTGCCTGGAGCACAAAGATGGCTACAGACACAAGAGTTGCCTGGTTGGGAGCCAGCCAGTGACCTTCAGCAAACAGTGGCTTCCCTCAAACCACCTGGGTGCAGTTTTCCTCGCCCGCTCCCCAGGAGATGTATCCATGCCTGGAGGAGAGCTCTGCTCTGTGGGAGCGTGGTGGGTGCTCTCCAAGCCTGGCTCTTACAAGGGTGAGAGAAGGAATGCTGCTGACTTCCTAAAGCTCTTGTGCATCATCCTCCTCCTCTGCCCTCCTCTGCTAAACAGTGCCCCAACAGGCCCCAGCTGCTCGCTGGTATCTCTGATAGTCAAGAACAGTTAAAACACAGGGAAGCTGCTGCATCAGGTGCCTGTTGCTTTTGCTCCTGAACCACAGTGGTGCAGCAAATCCATCTAAGACACTTCTTTCCAGTGGCCATAGCCTCAAGATCCAGCCTCTCTCTTCCATTGCTCCCAAACACTTGCCTGGTGGTTGCAGCTCCCTTCTCTCCATTAAGTACAAGCCACTGTGTCCACAGACCTCCCAATGCAAGGTGAAGACCCCACGTCCCATGCCATAATCTACACCGCACCTTGCTCTCCACCAGCTTTCACCACGTGCCCTCACCCACAACGCTTCTTGTGCCGTTATGAACAGCCAGGGTGCCAGAAGAAAACCCAGGGATCAGCGAAAGCAGTGTGTGCTCATCAATGTTATTTTAGTTTCTAACACGGGAGGAAAGCAACACGGGGTTTATTCCTTGCCCTGCCACCGGCTTACTTTTATAATAATCAGAAGGTGACTCAAATTCTTGTATCTTCAGTCCCTGTCTGAAAAAAAGAGGGTAAAACCCTTGTCTTACGGCTGTTGAGAGCATGAAATCCAGTAACAGGCATGGAATTCTAACCTGTGGCAAGGATGAAGTTGCAATAAGTATCTAAAACTCAGACAGATCAAACCATTTAGATAGG